ATTTACAAGGCTCCTTTTCAGAGTCCTGCTATTAGCATTTTCTATTTTGGTTCATTTTAATTAGTGCTGTCAGCGTTAATCTCGTTAAAATGACATTAACGCCATAACTGTATTAACGCGGCAAACCTCCATTAATGAGCTGCCGCGGATCGCCCTGTGCGTGGGGCTGGATGGCGTCAACGTGCTAACGTGGGCAAACTCATTGATACTGTGCACGTCAGATTAACGCTGACAGCACTAATTTTTATATAAATTGCTCATGCAGCTAACACTAGCAGGCTTGGCTGGAAAAATGTGTAATAAACTGAACTACTTCTCCACAAAGCAACAGCACCTGTCACTCAAATAGGCCACGCCCCTAATGATGCAAACTTTAAACCTATAAACAGTCGAGCTATTAAAACAGGTTATAACCATGTTTATTTCTTCTGTAAAGGTTTAACAGTCTATGAGGTCTAACTCGCTGCTGGAGCCTCTGCTGGACGTCAGAGGAACTGCAGTGTTAGTGACATTTTTCATGTTTGACCCTTGAAGTGAATCCAGTTCATGAAAACAAATAAAACATATCGTGCTTTCACAGACTGACGGTACAGTTTCATGACGCAACTGTCTCCCCACAGAGACAGCAGGATGTCACCGAGGCGGTCTGATCCCCGGTCATGTCTCTGTGCTGAGCAGCTGCAGCTCTTTCCCAGAGCAGAGACCCTGTGGACAGACAGCCCCGTGTCCCTATTGTGTCAAGCTGTGTTTGAGCTGACGTGAAAAAGCACAGGGGCCAGCAGAGTGCCAGGTCAGTTTACCTCACACATCACCTCACAGCTCGCTCCAAGGACGAATCAAACCACTGACGAGCCTCGTTTCCAGGAGCACGGAAAGCTGAAATCCCATCCTCAGAGCTGCAGAACGTCAGTGTCGTCTCAGTGGGAATAAAAGCAGATTCCATCTTTATGAAGAGCCTCTTTAGAAAAAGCTTAAAACCCGACTTTTCCTCCACTCACACTGAACGAGGGAGCGTAAGAAGCTTAAATGCTCCATTCAGTCATTAAAATGTGACTGGAGAAGTGTCTGCACCTGAACTTGTGACCCTGAACACTTTAAGGCTCACTTGTCTGTCCACCCACTGCAGGAACATAACCCCGACTGTCAGCATCAACCCCCCGGCCTGGCAGTCACCCCTGCAGCTCAGCTCAGATGTTCTGTTCTAAGATGACTTTCAATCAGCTGCTCTGCTGATCACAGATCATCACCATCAGACAAACCAAGTTCGTCCTCAGATAACCTCAGAAAACATGCTCAGCTCAGCCAGACTGAGAAAAAGCAGTAAAATCAGAGGGATAATTTCAGAATAAAAGCACCTCCTTACCTGGATTCCTCATCTCTGGCGATCAGCAGGGACATGTGATTGGAGACCGAGGCCGTCCTTAAGATCTCCACCGCCCTATCAGGGAGCAGAATCGAGCAGTAAACATTACCAGCGTGTGATGGAAGATAAAGAGTCCATGTGTGAAACTCAAGGACATCTCTGCCTGGTGGAAACGTCCTCTGTGGACCTATTGGACAAATAGACTGCAGTACCACCGACAGCCACTAGATGCTGACAGCAACTGACTCGAGCCCAAAAGTCTTTGCTCCTACTTAAAAGTTCAAAAGAACTTTAGTATCCGTCGTGTGGCCGATGATCGATAGCTGTGATTGTCGTTCCATCTACGACTTTCGAGCCTCTGTTTAAAGAATGAAACTGATTTTTAAGTTTAACTGGAACTGTGATACTTGGTTATCATCAGTGTTTATGAC